CTTCTTCTTCTTCTTCTTCTTCTTCTTCTTCTTCTTCTTCTTCTTCTCTGTCATGGTTTCTTTTGGGATAAGAGAACTTAGTTCTTTTGTAAACATTCAGAAGATAATTCCAGATAACATCCAATGTCCATGACAAGGATTAGAAAGGCAGGCATGAATGATAAGACTGTCTATTGAAATAAGAGCAATATGAGTGCAAACTAACTCCATTGGATAATTCCATTCCTATTGGAATTATCAAGAACTGTCCAATATCATTGGATTTTACTGTTTTGTCTCTGTCATTTCCTGTACCTGTCAGATCAGGTTGGAGAAGCTGTGGAAAAGCCAAACTCATACTCACTGGAAAGTGATCTAAAATAAAACTTCCAATACTATACTGTTTGTGAAAATACATGATTATAGAATAAGAATAGAAATACTTTTGTTCTGATAATACCATACTCCATAAAGCTGATTGGCGGGAGTTTCAGGATTATTAAAACTTGGCACTTCACAAGATATTCCATCAACAGACACATCGACCTACAATCAGCCTACGAACCCCTGAGAATTCAAATAAACTGCACAATCAAACACGACAGCACAAACCTTCAACCAGCCCCCAACCACCCAACCAGCATTTTGCCACCCAATGATCCTCATCTGACGTGACCCACACTTGACCATCACAAGACCCAGCACAGGGCATTCACCTGATGTGACCCTATCACAAGACCTACTGACCACACGAAGCCCTTATAAGCAGAAGAACACCAACACTGACATTCCCTAAATTCCGCTGAAGATGTTACCTAGTCTAGTAATGAAACATTCAGAAACCAACCCACAACCTCAGAGAACAAACCTCCACTCTTATGACTTATTATGTTTGTATGTAAGTGCAATTTTTTATTGACAAGTAATTTACTTGAATGGAAATGGTTTAAAAATGTATTTCCATTTAGGATTGTTTAAATCTTATTAAATCTTTTTTGTATTGGAATTAAGACAATATTCTAATCTGACAGTCTAAGGCAACTTCATTTGGCATTTCCAATTCAATAATATTTCTTCTGAGAAAACTGACACGATCAGAAATTAAATCTGACAATCGAGATATGCAAAATGCATGTCCTTGGGATTCAAATGTTTTTACTTCTGGTTCGGTGGGCATGGCTTAGTGGGTGTGGCAGGGGAAGGATACTGTAAAATCTTCAGTCAGAGGTGGTATTTGCCGGTTCTCTGAACTACTAAAAATTTCCACTACCGGTTCTCCAGAACTGGTCAGAACCTGCTGAATACTACCTCTGCATTGACCATGTTTTCTTATGACTACAAACACACACACACACACACACACACACACACACACACACACACAC